CATTTGAAGTTTGGTCACCAAGTAATATATAGACAAATTTATAAGAATTAATGAACTAGTGTTTGGACAAACAATGATAATTGAGAGTTTTAGAGGTAAATAACTGTTTAATTTTATTAAATAATCAAATAACTAATGCAAAGTGTTTTTCTACCAAGCATCTAACAACATTTTACACTTGGAATTCAATCAGCTTGGCAGTATCAGAAAATGATTGAATATGGTTCTAATAGTTTATTAAGTTTGGATGCTCATATGTGTTTCAAGAGGTAATCCATTTATCATAAGTTCTGAAAGGTAGTAACCAACTCTTGATGCTGAAAATGGTAATCCCTGTAGAAGGGGTACAAATATACTATACAGTGAGATGGAATAAAAGAATATATACTCAAGAAAAATAAATTTGCTGCTTATCTGTAACTTACCCATTTCACAAATTAAAAAAAGTTCCATAAACAAAAGAATTCAAAGTGATTGGAAAGTGCTTGTAATTCATTCTTTTCTTTTCCACATAAATAATTTATCTCTAGAAGTCTACTTCTTTAGTTGTATGGCTTAGAAGTAATTGTTCTGTTTTTTACATAATTACTAATTTACCATTATTTCATGTTTTAGTAAGCAATTAAAAATTGCCCAGCAAATGTTGACCAGTTGACAAAGCTTATTGTTTAACACATGTTTCCTCTCAATGTCCACCCTTTTAGTTTTCCTCGCTCCATGCAACAGCACCATCTTGACTCCATAAAGTGTCAAAGAATAGCTCTCAAAATCCAGAACAAAAATGAAAAAAAAGTCTACATTTTTCTACTCTTGAATCATAGTAGTAACTAATTCAGGGATCTAACAATTGTAGCCTAAAATTGCTTTGGAAGAGAGAAAAAAAATGAACATATACCTTTGGCTCTCACTCATGCCCACTGTTGGCATGTAGCTATGGCTACTACTGGCAGTGATATTGATACTGATCGCCTACATGTTGAGTGGTAGTTTTTTTATAAAGGTCACAAAGACTACCGTTTACATAATTGTGTAATAAATCAATTAAAGAGTCACTAAAGAGTAGGATAAAAATATTTGAGTCAAGAGCCTCAAGAACAACACTAGATTTTCCACAAACCTATTCTCTGCTGTGATTGCATGCTGATAGAGCTGCGAGCTGAGCAAGCTGCAGCAATGAAGCCATAGGCTTGTCACATCCACATCTTTGATTCCATGGAAGCCAGGAGTTGGAACTCACTGTTACAACCGGGTGGGAGAGATTGAACAGGTGCTTGAAAGATTTAGGAGGATGTGGGAGGAGGGATCGCAGGCCAATGGGATCACTTACCTGTGCCTCTTGACAGCCTACAATCACTGTGGCCATGTGGAGCAAGTCAAGAAGTTCTTGGATTCCCTCCACATCTTCTAGAAAAACTTCCAGCCTTGCTTGATCCATCCCACGGCACTGCACGCCACAATAACCAAGAGGAACGTAAATCCATCCAGCGTAGTGACCTCCTCTACCAGCTTGCCAAAGATCTCCACCACTTTGGCTGCGTTGCCTTGGGTAGCCTGCTATCAGCGTGTTCCACAAAACCACGTCCTTGGATATCACAGTGGAATCGAAGAAGTGCTGAGCAGTGGCTATACTTCCACACTCGCCATGGAAATTGGTGACACTGTTTGCGATGCTACTGCTCTCCAGTCCCCTCTTGCAAATCCCAGCATAGATTTCCCTTCTAGTTTCCAGATCCACCAAAGTCCTGCAAGCCATCAGCAACACTACTGCAAAGGTTGGCAATGTTGCTTCCAGCCCTGTGAATTCAAAAGCTTTGAACAACTCCAAAACCATCTTGCTTTCCCTTGTCTCAGCGTATTCCAGTAGCAATGAAGTCCATGACACAACGTTGCGATGCTTCATTTAGTCATGGAGAGACTTTTCCAGATTCTTAAGCTTCCAATGGATGATTTCATTGCCCTTTTTCTGCAAAACTTTGCATAACTTTCAAGAGCTCATTTTATCTTTAGATAACTCTTCTTTAATTACCTAATATGAAGCCACAAGAAAAATTGTGAGCACCCTAAATCAAAGGCAGTCTACTGTAATTTCTAAGTTTATTCTCTCCTTTTTCACACCAGCCAAATCGTTAATTTGCCGATCTCTCAAATGTTTTTTTGAAAACCATTAGAGTTTTAGTATTATAGAGTTTGATAACCTAGAAAAATAACATCCGATTTAAAAACAGTGGGAACTTCTCACGCGGTAGTTTTCAAGTCACTAGACATCGGCGAAGGTATGCAGTGAGTGGCCAGAATAGCTGGTGTCGCAGCCTTTGCTCTTTGAGTTTCCAGAACGAGAACCTATCAGCCACGCCAGTGTAAGGATCACAGGAACAAATCTATACTTTTGAGCTATGGATCCACCTGTTGATGGTCGAGATCGAATTTGAGAAACTCGTCTTTGCAGCTCTCCACCATATTTGCTAGGTGCTTCAAGTTCGTGACACTCGTGCCGTTGAATGCCAGTACCTGGTGAGCCCGTGTAAGTTTCCAGCCGGAGAGCAAACTTTTACCTGTGTGTTGACAATGTCCTCGTATCCAATGTTCACGTCTGCCACTAGCACCTGCAAAAGCAAGTAAAAGATTACATAAAAGCAACAGGAAGGAAAGGCTCGCTCGACCTGAGACACCACCACTAGCTGCTCGTCTTGAGTTTTGGCCATCGAATGCAAAAGCTTGTTCAGCAGCTTCACCGGGGCGTCATAGTCATAGTCCTTGCCATACTGCACATAGAAGCTTGCTCACCATTGAAAAACAGAAAAAAGAAAAAAGAGAATAGCTTCTACCTCGGAACGAAGATATGGCACAGTGATCGCCGCAAACACGACACCCGCCACAATGTAATACGAAGGGGTTATGCCTTTTATATGTGCCGGGACCAAGCGCTTGTGATACCTCAGCTCCAAATTGTACTCGTTAACATTTCCATCGCGCAAAATTTTCACTTTTGCCAATTCTCCAGTGTACTTCTGAGACACGAGGTAGCTGAAACTTATGCGTTCCCCGAGACGAAATGGTACTGAGACAATCAAGACACTGATTAAAAACCACCTCTGAAAACCAAGAACCACTTACCGGTACCATCGTTCGCAATAGCCACATCATCGAAGCTCAAGAGGATGTCTGAGTGCCGAAGATATTGAGCAGCTGGAGCGGTCGGCTCGACCCTTCTTATGCGAACACCTTTCTGATTCGGTGCCATCCCGACTGCCTTCCGCAAATCCGGATTTTCCATCTTCTGCCATTCCACGCCAAGAATGGGAAACCCTGCAAAAAAAACATGGAAAGAATAGAACGCAGCTAGAATCAAGACTACAGGACAGTATTACCAGTGTAGTCACCCGAGCGCTTGTAATCGTTGATGAAATGCTCGATGACCGGTGTCGGAATCACATAGCCAATGTTCTCCACATCTTCGTGCCTCAATGACTGGAATGCTATTCCAACACACTCCCCTCGATGATTGAAGGCAGGTCCACCCGAGTTCCCGGAATTAATGGCTGCGTCGATCTGGAAGTTGGTTCAGTAAAACGAGGGACGAAAGACTCAAAGAGTACCTGAACTCCTATAAGCTCCGTTGCTCCATGCACGTAAGACGTAACTTCGATCCTAGAAACCACACCACTGGTAACAGATATAGTGTCACCCCCAATCGGATAGCCAACGACGGTCACAGCGTCCTGGAGCCTCGGTAAGCTTCCAAATGTCACGGGTGTGATACCCTCCCAAAACTCTTCGTCATTTACAGACAGCATCGCTGATAGAACAAAGAAGCAAACAAAAAGAAGTCATAAACACCATAAAAGCTTGGAAACTCACCAATGTCACACTCGGTTCCAATGGCAAGAACGTTGGCCAGGTACTTGGTGTCCGAGCCTCGCTTCTTGATCTTCACCTGTGTGTGATGCTCCACCGAGTGAGCATTCGTGAGCAGCCTTTTCCCTTCGATCACAAACCCGCTGCTGCTGGTGCTAAACTGCCGCTTGCGCTGCCAAGGCAGCGAGAAGTTGGGCTCGGTGTGGACGCAGAAAACTTTCACCACATTGTCCATGAAAGGCGCGTCCTTGGCATCCTCGACGGTGTGTTCTTCGCGCCTCAAGGGCTCACCGGGGGTGGGCAAAGCCTCTAGCATCGAGGACGGGGACAAGTGCCTCGCAGCTTTCCTCTCGGGGAATCCACCGCAGTCACTCCCACTTTCCAGTGGAATGGCGACCGGGGTCGCATTCTTCTTGGGCCTGCCCCGGCGGCGGGCTGGCGGCGGAGACTCTGCTGGAGCCTGGATCTCAACCATGTCGACATCTTCCTCGGCCAAGCCAGAATCTAAAACCTGGACTGGAACATCGCCATTGAGGCTCTTCTCACCGATAAAGAGGGATCCTGCCCTGGAGTTGAGCTGCGCGGCAGTGAGCTGAGTCGGGGGATTCTTGCGCGGCCTTCCTCGCTTCCGTGGAAGAGCGGCAGCGTCGGCATCCGCCATAGCTCCTCCTCGGGCAGGCGTTGTGCAAAACTACCTCATGCTGCGCGCTCTTCCCTCCTCAAAACCCTAAACCTAGGGGTTATGAGAGCTTTTGGCGGGGGTTTAAAAGGTCGTTAATAACGAGTATCATAAGTCCACAAGGAAAAATTACGTGATGTGGCCGCGTAGCGCAGTGGATTAGCGCGTCAGACTTCGGATCTGAAGGTCGTGGGTTCGAATCCCACCGTGGTCGAGCTTTAAATTCTTCGTCCTTTAATTTTAAGCTAGAGTTAAACTAATTAAATAAGTCTTTTTAGTAGTTAAACTAATTAAACACGTTATTAAATGTTAAAGCATCAGTAGTCCAACGGCTAGGATAATTGCCTTCCAAGAAATAGACCCGGGTTCGACTCCCGGCTGATGCAAGTTTAGAATTCAAAAACATTTTTTTTCAATATTTTTACTTTATAGCCACTTTAATTTAATCTAGATGTTAAATAAGTCATTGAATGAAAGCATTGATCACTATTATTAAAAAATAACTTTACCAATTTCAAAATTTATTAGCTCGTTTCCTTCGTTTGACTCCATCCACAAGCTCCGCATCCTCCCCAGCCGAGGAGAACAAGTTATACACCAAAACATACGTGCTCGACGCGATCTCTAGAGTGGACGAGATCCCCTCGTCCAGCATCATCACAAATCTCGCAAGCCGCTTCCCTCGCTTGGCATCACCGTGGAGTCTACACGCCGCCACCAGCGATCTCCAAGTCAGGAGCTGCGGCTCGTAAGGCATGCACTGGATGAGCTCCTCGGCCCTCTCCAGGTGACCCACGCGACCGAGAAGATCAACCATGCAAGCGTAGTGATCCATGGACGGAATCCCTCCAAACTCGTCCTGGATCAAGGAGAAGATCTCCCATCCAGTTCTAAACAAGCCCCCGTGACTGCATCCCGAGAGAGTGGTGGTGAAAGCAATCTCGTCCGGCGCAACACCCGCAAGGATCATCAGCTGGAACATCTCCACCGCATTGGAGCACTCGCCATTCTTCGCATACGAGGTTATCATCGCGTTCCACGAGACCAAGTTCTTCTCGAGCATGGAATCAAACACATCTCTCGCGTTTTCCAGGCTGCCGCATTTGCCATACATGTTGATGAGCGAGTTGTTCACCTGGAGGTTTAGCAAGAAGCCACTGTCTCGCGCGATCGTATGAACCGCTCGGCCCTCGGCTAAGTTGGCGATGGAGATTGCCGCGTCCAGGGCGTTGAAAAATCCCACCTTGTCGATGCCAACGCCCTGTAGATCCATGAGTCGGAAGAGCTGGAGAGCTGCTCGTCCCTCCCCGTTCTGGATGTATCCCGTGATCATCGCATTCCAGGAGCCACTGTCGAATGTTCCCAAGTTGTCGAGCAAGCTCTGCGCTTCTTGGAGCCGACCATTGTGAGAAAAGGCAGTGATCATCGCAGTCCACGACACTAGATCCTTGAGAGGCATTCTATCAAACATCTCCCGAGCTCGATCCAAATCTCTCTCCTGCGCAAGGCCGGTGATGAGAGCTGTCCACGAAACCGCGTCTCTCTCAGGCATGTTTTGGAAGAGCTCCTCGGCCTCGGCCATCTCCCCGAGCTCGACATAGCCGGACACGATCGTGTTCCACGACACGACGTTGTGGCAAGGCATTCGATCGAAGCAGAGCCTGGCGTCCCTGATCTGGAGGGACCGAACGTAAGCCACCGCGATCGAGTTCCAAGACACCACATTCCTCGTCGGCATTGCCTCGAACGTCGCCTTGGATTCGTCCAGATGCCCGTGCTGCGCATACACAGTGATCATGGTGTTCCAGGACACTGGATCTCTGTCGGGGATTCTCGCGAACAAATCCACCGTCTCAAAGAACTCCCCCGCCTGTGCGTATGCGCCATGAATGGCATTCCATGTCACGACGCTTGGAAGTGGCATCTTCTCGAAGACTATCCTCGCCTCCCGCAGATGCCCATTCTGGGCATATGCTACAAGCATGATATTCCACGAGTAGAGATTCCTCTCGCGGATGCCATCAAACACCGCCTTGGCCTCGACGACCGACCGGCAATTGCCAAACATCTGGATCAGAAGATTCCCCAGGTACCGGTGCTGATCCATGCCGGCGATTCGAAGCTCCCAGTAGAGGCGCCGGCCCTGCGGGAGAAAGTGAAAGAACGCGCAGCGCCGGATGTGCTCGGCGTACGAGAGGATGTCGATCGAATTCCGCTGGTCCTGCTGCTGTTGCTGCGATGAAATGCCGGGGCTCTCCCGCTCGATCAGCCGCCGCCGCGCTAGATCGCCCCAGATCGCCCATTCCCCCTCCTGGAGCTCGCCCACCATGCGCTTCAGGCAGGAGCTCCCGCCGGGAGCTCTGTGAAGCTGCCTCGCCGCGAGGACGCTCCACGGCCGCCATCGCTTCATCCATTTCGGAGAATATTCTACAAAACCCTAGCCCTGATAACCTAAGTTTACATATGGACTACCTATTTGGGCGAACTCTTTGAATTTAGGCCGTTGGATGTATTTTATTATCATATTCTGATGGAGTTGGAGAGGCATTATAAATTGTCTCTAGAGAGTAAAGTTAGAGTATTTTTTTTAATGTTCAAAATTATACTTTGATGTGAGGGCCAAGTGTACGGCTAAGATGCCGTATACTAATATTAGCGTAGTGGATTTTGGTAGCCGTCGGATTGGTTTCAATCCGGACCACTCGCTCCTGTATATAAGCTAGGGTTTTTGGGCTAATTGAGATGCACATTTCTATATTCCCTTTCCATATTCCATGCACTCACATTGGTGGAGATGAAGGGCACCTTTGATTGTCCCTGGGGAGTGCTTAGATTTGGGATTTCGGTTTAGATCTAGCTTTTGCATTGTCTAGATCTAGCTTTTTCCATTTCCTTTCTTTTTTTCTTTCCTTTCAGGATTTTGGTTTAGATCTAGCTTTTTGCATTGTCTAGATCTACCATTTCTTTCCAGCTTTTTGTCATTTCTCTTCTTTTGCTCTTTCTTTCTCATTCATTTTCATGGCCGATCCGCAATCTCCTCCTTTGACTCTAGAGTAGCAGTTGGTTCAATTGCTTGATGCTATGCGCTTGCAATTGAACAACCAAACTCAGTTGATGGCGGCATTCACGGCACATGGTACAACTCCTCCTGCTTTTGGTGCCAATCCTCGCGTTTGGCCGGAGTTCTTTCGTGGGAATCCTGGGGATGATGTGTACCATTGGTTCGATCACTTCACGGTGATTGCCACATATCATTCTTGGGATGATGCTCGACGTTTGCGTGAGTTCCCCACATGTCTTCAAGGGACGGCATTGCAGTGATACAATGGATTGAGCGCAGCTACTCGTGGCGATTGGAGTGTTCTTCCGGACGTCTTCAAACGCGCCTTCGGACACGCCGACGATTGTGATGATGCCTTCCAACAATTGCATCGTCTTCGCCAAGGGCCATCTGAGTCGGTGATGCAATTTGGCGTTCGTTTCCGAAGTCTTTTGCTTCGTGCGGAGCCAAATATGTCAGAGCGGATCAAGCTAGGAATGTTGTGGCCAGCACTTTGTCAAGATCTTGTCGGACTTGTGCACGCACTTGCTCCTGCCACTCTTGACGATGCTCTTCGCTTGGCACAACGTTATGAGACGTCGCCTCTTCCACTTCTTGCTACACGTCCTTCAGCTCCACTTCCTATGAGTGATGGTCCTGTTCCCATGGAGGTTGATGCTGCTGCTACTCGAGTCCAAGGACAAGGGCGAGGACGTGGTCGTGGCCGTGACATTCGTTGCTGGGCGTGTGATGAAGTTGGTCATACTTATCGGCGTTGTCGGCGCTTTCCGGATTGGCGACCTCCATTTCCTGGGTGGAGACCTTGGCGTCAGCAACGTCCCATTGGTGCTGCTGCAGTGGAAGGTTTGGATACCGAGGTGCATTCGGGAAACGAGGAGTCGCGCGAGTAATGGAGGGACCTTGCGCGAATAAGTTAGTGACCCCTCCATCTTTCTTTCGGGAGTATCATCAAGGGGTTCACTCGGCACCGGTTCATCCAGTGTTTACTTTCCAAGCTCGTTTTTATAACAAGAGGTCTCCTATTCTTCTCTCCGTGTTGGTTGATACAGGTTTGAGTTTATCTTCTATTGCTCGACCTGTTGCCACACGTTGTCGTCTACACTTGCGTCGTGCGGCCGATCCAGTTTTCATTCTTTATGGCAACGGCCGTACACATGCATGTGCACGAGATGAGGCAGACCTGGTGGTGCGTGTGGGCGATCTCGAGCTTGAGTTGCAGTCGTTGCGGGTGGTGCCGAGTCAAGCTTTTGACCTCATTCTTGGTATGGATTGGTTGCAGCACAATCATGCCAAGTGTGACTTTGAGGTTTTTCCCCCTTGTCTCATACTTCCTTATGTTTCATCCATTCCTCTCACTTCCGTACCTCTTCGTCCCTCTACTTCTACCTCTGCTTCCATTACTTTTGTGTGAGACACAAAATCCCTAGGCCCCAAAGTGGAGCCGGAAGGGCGCCACATGGTAGTGGCCGAAGCGAGAGCCAAACTAGCGTAACACGTTTGGACCAAAAGCTCCGACTTGAAAAGTCAAGAGCGGGAGTGGAACTCCCAACGAAGTGCTCGAGGAATGAGCACGAAGCGAGCAAAAGGCGAGGCTCCAAAAAGGGACCCAAAAGGACCAACACATGACACGTGGGAGTGTCCGAGATGGACTCGAGTTGGAGTCCGAAGTGGAGTCCGAGATGGAGTCCGAGATGGAGCCCGAAGTGGAGTCCAAGGTGGACCCGAGATGGACCCGAGTTGGAGTCCGAAGTGGAGTCCGAGATGGACCCGAGATGGAGTCCGAGATGGAGTCCGAAGTGGAGTCCGAGATGGAGTCCGAAGTGGAGTCCGAGGTGGACCTGAGATGGACCCGAGTTGGAGTCCGAAGTGGAGTCCGAGATGGACCCGAGATGGAGTCCGAGATGGAGTCCGAGATGGAGTCCGAGGTGGACCCGAGATGGACCCGAAATGGAGTCCGAGATGGAGTCCGAGATGGAGTCCGAGATGGAGTCCGAAGTCGAGACCGAGACCGGGACCGAGACCGGGACCGAGACCGAGACCGAGACCGAGATCGGGACCGAGACCGAGACCGAGACCGAGCCCGAGCCCGAGTCCGAGTCCGAATCCGAGTCCAAGTCCGAGTCCGAGTCCGAGTCCGAGTCCGAGTCCGGAGCCTGAGAGGGTGAAAGCCCAAAGCGTTCGTCTCCCAGACCCTGGGGGGTTTGGTGAGCTCCAAAAGTATAGTGGGGGGAGGACTGCAGTGGAGCCAGTTTGGCCAGGAAAGGCCAGTTTGGCCCAGGAAGGCCGGACCCAATGTTGGGTGATGAGCTGCCCACTGGGAAGTCCAAGACTAGAGTGAACATGGACCGACAAGCGGGGTAGCTTGGTGAAGTGTTCAAGAGCCGGCTCTAGTTCCCCTGGGAGATCCACTGGCCGATGCTCCCAGTCCAAGTGTGGGTGGCACTACCTACTTGGATACCTGGTGTGGCTCAACGGAACCCGCTCTAAGCCCATGGCTAGAGCACCCAAGGGCAGAAGGCGAGGAGAGTACCCAGGTGGCTCGCGTAAGGCCACGGTGTTCCGAAATGTTGTCCCAAAGGCCCAGACTGTGGAAAGGAAGAGGAGCAGTCCTCTGGGGTAGTGACCAAGGACACAGTCACACAGTGAGGAAGTCCTAGAGGATAGTGGGACTTAGTGGTCGGGCCGGTGGGCCTCGATCCAGTGGCAGTGTTGGCGAACACAGCCAAGGACAGAAAGGGACTTGGTGGGGACCGGAACAGAGATATTGGGGAAGGCTATTCCCCATGTCTGTAGGCATCCTAAGGATGTTAAGGAGTGGATCTGGGATGATCACTCATGGATGGATGACCCAGTCTTTGAGAGACGGGATTGGAATGTAGGTGGTGTTGGACCACCAGTGTGACCGAGGTAAATGGGCATGGCCTTAGCGTAACGGGCCGATATGTCAGTGGTACCTTGGGGTGTCGATCATGGGATCGGACACGTGGAGCACTTGGACCAAGTGCTAAGGTTGAGTGGCATGGATGCCATTCTCGGGGCTAGCAAACCCCAAGTCCTGAGTTGAGCTTATGGAGGTTGTGAATGAGACTCCTCCAAGAGGTCGGAGGTGTGGTTAAGTGACTAAAGTAGAATGGAAAAATCAGTCGCTTACATTTTGTTCCCCCATTATTTCCTTTTGTGTTTCCATCTTGTTCTGCTCTTCCCTTTTCCGATCCCTCCGACGATCTTTGTGTTGCAGCAGTTGACCAGCTCATGAAGGAGTATTCTGATCTCTTTGAATTTGACCTATCGTCTGGGGCCAAGATTGCCACACGTCATCCCATTCCAACCGGGGATGCTCGTCCAATCAAGGTTCCTGTTCGTCGTCGGTCACCCAAGGAGATCAAGATTTTACGTGCAAACGTCAAGGAGATGTTGGAGAAGGGTGTTATTCGGAAGTCGCGGAGTCCTTGGGCATGTGAACCTCATCTTGTGACGAAGCCTGATGGGAGTATTCGTTTCTGCATCGACTATCGTTCGTTAAATGAAGTGACGATCCCGGATGTGTACCCTCTTCCTCACACTGCTGATCTCTTGGATCGTCTGGGGCGAAGTCGTTGGTTCACCAAGCTAGATCTTGCTTCTGGGTATTGGCAAGTACCGATGGCTGAAGACGATATTCCTAAGACTGCTTTTCGTACACCATTTGGTTTGTACGAGTTTTTGGTGATGCCGTTTGGTTTGAACAATGCTCCAGCAACTTTTCAGCGAATGATGGACGAGGTTCTTTGCGATATGCCGAAGGTGACGGCTGACTTCATTGATGATGTCTTGATCCACTCGGAGGGGACGTGGGAGGAGCATGTTCGTGATGTTTGTAAAGTGTTGGATCGGCTACGCGATGTTGGTTTAAAGCTGAAGCGGTCGAAGTGCGTGTTTGGGTCCAAGGACACAACTTATCTTGGGTACCGTATTTCTCGTGAGGGTTTGCAAGTTGATCCTGACAAACTTGTGGCTGTTCTAAAGTTCCCTACTCCGAAGTGTGTGAATGATGTGCAGCGCTTTTTGGGTAAGGTGCAGTATCTCGGTCGTTTTGTGGATCATCTTTCCGATCGCACTATACCATTGCGAGCGTTGCTGAAGTCATCAACGTCATCTTTCATCTGGTCTCCCGATTGTGAGCGGGCGTTCGTGAATCTCAAAGAGCTATTGACGACTCCTCCGGTTTTGGCATATCCTGACTACACTCGACCTTTTATTTTGCGCGTGGATGCTTCTGACATTGGTCTTGGAGGTGTGTTGATGCAAGAGAGCTCGAGTGTGCCTGGTCAGTGCCATCCCATTGCCTACATAAGCCGTACATTACAACCAGCGGAG